ACAAACTACTAATAAATAAACTATACATATATGATCTATCCTTACATATATACAAATATATAAATAAATAGATATACATACATGTAAACATATTTAAATACATACATAATTAGTATATACAAATGAATATGAATATATACGTCTGTTTGGCAATACATATTAAATAGATGAGTCATGTAGAATGCGTTGTCTTTAATAAATAATCACGGACCAACTTTTTAAAATCGTACTTATTGGGAGCTTGTCTGATGTCATCGGGCAAGGAGTTCCAAAGGCGTGTAGCCTGAACTGTGAAGTAGTTACCATAGAACTCGGTGAAGTGAACTGGAGTACAGATTTTGTTGTTAGAAGAAGAGCGTAGGACCCTATCATATATATATATATATATATATATATATATATATATATATATATATATATATATACCATAATACCATAGCAAAGCTACTAGTATTTTATTTAGTAGTAGCTTATATAATACTATAGTAAATTATATATAAAAAATATGAGTATATCTGAGGTAAGGTTAAATATAAACAAATATTTGCCAAGTGCGAATCCGACATACGAGCTTCCGTACCATCTTACAAGATTTAATATACATAGGTATTACTATCGATCAAAAAAAGCCAAAATACACGTTTCTTTTTCTAGTAGGAAACCCTTTAATTTCAAATTTATTTTTACTATTTGCTGTTATAGCGCAAACAGAAATACACATTCTGTGAAAATTACAACCATCTACCTGTTACGGATAATGAGATACAGCCCGCTGACAGACAGACACACGGACAGCGGAGGCTTCGTAATAGGGCCCTGCTGGTTACTAAAAATGAATGGAATCCTAAAAAGTACTTAGTTGTCCACTCACATCTGTATGGTTCTTTCTTGAAAGGACCATTAGCCACCTGCCTGGTTCTCGTATGACATGACCAATGTAATGACTGACCTCTCTGAGTTTGTTTCGGTAGATCAGGTGCTTCTTCTCAGTTTCATGTTTTTGTTGTGTTAAAGTGTTTTTTAAAAAAACATACTTACAAAACAAATTTTATTTATCATTGACTGCCCTTCTCAGATTCTTATGTACTTACATAAATTACATTAAGTATATTAGGATATGAGATTCCTATTCGTAAGTACGATCATTGAAAATCTAAAAATTACCTATTCTAATTAAATTTATAGATATTGTTAAGATTTTCGACAATCGTGCTTATCAATGAGATGTTTTCGTTAGTTGGCAAATTAAAGTAGTTAAGTACCTAATGTACTACACGGTGTTGATGGGAGACTTCAACGCAAAACTAGGCACAAAAGAAAGCGGTGAGCTGAAGGTAGGGAAATTTGAAGTAGGGCAACGGAACCGAAGGGGCGTCATAATGAAGTCAATCTCATTTTTTGTCGAACCGTCGGGGCTCGAACAGGTCCACTTCCTGTGGGGCCGCTTCTGGAAGAAAGAGTTCATCATAAAGAGTCCCTCTTTCTCCATAAAGTCGGCCAGCTGCTGGCCCCTTCGATTCCGTTGCCCTACTCCAAATTTCCTTAACTTCAGCTCACCGTTTTCTCTTGTACCTAGTTTTGCGTTGAAGTCTCCCATCAACACCGTGTAGTGGGTTTTGGAGGAATGCATGGCTTTGGAAATATCCTCATACATTTTCTCCACCTTCTCATCGGGATGTGCCAAGGTTGGTGCGTAAACCTGTATGACCTTCAGCGAATACCGTTTGGTGATTCTGAGTATCAGGTACGCGACCCTCGTCGACACACTCCAATCTTTACAACGTTGTTGACGAGAGACTTGTGGACGATAAATCCGACACCTCCTTGGGACAGCTGGTCGCCCTACCGGTGATAGAACAAGTTGCCGGATTCGAAGAATACCGTGTCCTCCCCCTCTCTTCGAACCTTGGATAATCTTATAATATTTCAGCGCAACTTGTCTATCTCTTCTTCCAGCTCCAGGATCTTCTCGTCAGTCCTCAGGGTGCGTGCGTTAAATGTTGCCAGGTCGAGTCGTCGTAGGTGGTAACCGAACCTCCACCGGAGATTCTTAGCACCCCCTGCCCCGCCGTTACCATGGTCGCCACCGTAGCCAGGAATAGCGGGGCCGCCTGGGGCTGGGAGCCGTCTATTTGTGTAATTGTTCATGGGGGGTATATTGCATACAGGCAACTAAACAGACAGATCTCCAAATGCATGCGGCGAGACTTACGCAACTTTAATACTGCTCGTATTAAAGAAGCGATCGATCGGAACCAGGGCTCCAAAGTCTTTGCCAGAGATCTGTCTGCCAGTAAGAGCCAACTGTCAAAGCTGAAGACTGAGTGTGTCAGCATCGTTTCCGGGACACCTGAGATTTTGAGTGAGATTGAGAGGTTCTATGGGCAGCTGTACACATCATCGTTGGAGCCACACGCAAGTGTGAGTAACGATCCAAGAGCAAGTCTTACCCGATACTATTCCGATGATATCCCAGTCGTCAGTCTGAGCGAGATTAGAATGGCTCTCCAGCACCTTAAAAACGGCAGGGCTCCAGGCGAGGATGGAATTACAGCGGAGCTTCTGAAAGCGGGTGGAACACCGGTACTTGAAGCCCTTCAGAAGCTCTTCAATTCCGTCCTCCATGGTGGCCCTACTCCAGAGGCGTGGAGCAGAAGTGCGGTGGTCTTGTTCTTTAAGAAAGGCTCTTAAAGAACGCTCTCTTGAAGAACTACAGACCGATTTCCTTTCTGAGCCGCGTCTACGTGCTGTTTTCGAGAGTCATTACGAATCCTCTCGCACGCAGACTCCAGCCTCCCGAACAAGCCGGTTTCCGAAAAGGCTTCAGTACCATAGACCACATACATACCTTGCGGCAGATTGTACAGAAGACTGAAGAGTACAATCTGCCACTTTGCCTGGCGTATGTGGACTATGAGAAAGCCTTTGATTCCGTAGAAATTTGGGCGGTGCTACATACCCTTCAGCGGTGCCAAGTTGACTGTCGGTATATCGAAGTGCTGAAGTGTTTGTACGGTAGGGCTACGATGGCTATCCGAGTATAGAACCAGAGCTCGAAACCTATCCAACTGCAGAGAGGTGTAAGACAGGGTGACGTTATATCCCCGGACCTCTTCACCGCTGCATTGGAAGACGTTTTCAAGCTACTGGACTGGAAAGGATACGGTATTAACATCAATGGCGAGTACATCACTCACCTTCGATTTGCCGACGATATAGTCCTTATGGCAGAATCGCTGGAGGTCTTAAGCACTATGCTCAATGACCTCAATAGTGCCTCCCAACGGATAGGTCTTAAGATGAACATGGACAAAACAAAGATTATGTTTAATGTCCATGTCACACCTATGCCGGTAGTTGTTGGGAGCGCTATGCTCGAAGTTGTTGACGAGTACGTTTACCTGGGACAAATAGTCCGACTAGGTAAATCCAACTTCGACCGAGAGGTCAATCGACGGATTCAACTCGGCTGGGCAGCGTTCGGGAAATTACGACACATCTTCTCGTCAGGTATACCTCAATCTCTGAAAACTAAAGTGTATAACCAGTGCGGCAACACGCAGTAGATGACTTACGGATCTGAGACGTGGTCCTTTACTGCTGGCCGTATGAGGACGCTCAAGGTCACTCACTATGCTCGGAGTTTCTCTGCGTGATAGACTCAGAAATGAGGATATCCGCAGTAAAACCAGAGTGACCGACATAGCCCAACGAATTAGTAAGTTGAAGTGGCAATGGACCGGCCATATAGCTCGAAGAACCGATAACCGATGGGGAAAAAAGGTTCTCGAGTGGCAGCCTCGTACCGGTAGGCGTTGTGTATGGTGACCCCCCACTAGATGGAGACGACGTCCTGGTAAGACATGCAGGAAGTCGATGGATGCAGGTGGCTCAGGACCGTGCTTTATGGCATTACTTGGGGGAGGCCTATGTTCAGCAGTGGACTTGTGAAGGGCTATAATGATGATGATGATGAATGACCTAATGTACTTACTACCTGTATCAAAAGTTCATTATTATGTACCTACCTGTTTTCAATTTTAACTACATGTGCTTCAACAAACTTGTTTTACTTTTTACATACATTTTATCATTTTTCATATTACATTTTACCAGCTATATTCATCCCGGCTTCAGCAAGTGGACAAGAACAAAAGGAAGCAATTTTTCTAAATAAAGATGTAGATATGTAGGTATTACAACCATAAATAGATAGCAGCGGCTAACCTAGTGAGCATGTGTGGGTGCGCGCTGCGCCCCCCCCCCTCCATTCGTGCCACTGATCGGGGAAACAATTTGTAGCGAAAGGCAAGATGATTTACAACAAAAAGGAGCGCGCGAAATTTTATAAACAGACCTTTGGGAGTCTGGATGTCATGAAAAATCTATTGAATGTATCTGTTCAAAATAAAATTATTTGCATTTTTGAACAACTAATCTATCCCTGTATGGTAACTGTTTTGCAATTTTCGTTCTTCTTTCGGTATTTATTTCCGCCCAAAGATGTGTTAAAAATAGTGTTCAAATTCGGAATTTTCGACGCTTTTTTCGGAACTTTTAAACATAATCTTTTTTTTACTTTTTTTCCATACATGGCTAGATAATGATGAGACAAATTGAAATCATTTTTTTTTTGTACGTACACCATCAAACCGTGGAGTAATCGCCAGACTACGTTTGTATGGAAGAACGAGTGACTAGTGTACCCTTAACTGGATGATCGTATTACCCTCACGTGCTATGTTATTAACGTCGCGTATAATTAATAAACCAAATTAGCATGTATTATTAAACGTATTATTAAACCTTATTAACATCCGAGGTGTTTTTAACTTTTATAGATTGATTATTTGTATTCTTCATATATAATTGACCATCGTTGTCTGGTAGAGAATGCCATAAGGGATTAAATCCGCCCATTGTAACCCTTAGATTAAGGTATCTTACAATAAAGATTACCTACATAAATAATGAATTATTTCTGTCCTACGACATTTCAGGCAATGGGATTCAGTCGGTGGTCGGGGGAAGCTTATCACCAACTCCAGAATACGACGGTAAAAATTTACTCGTTCCAGGTACCGGCAATGGAATTAATTTACAGAATAATTTCGTCTTGTTAATAGTGACATTGGCTTTATTTTTTCTTAAATAAAAGCATTACCTAATACATCATTCTCTTTTATCTCTATCTCTTTTATCCTCACAATGTTTTCCTTCACCACCGAGCACGTGGTAAATTAGCACTTAAAATTTTAATTAACAATTTCATTAGTGCCGGCGGAGATCGAACCTGGGTTGCTCGCGTACTGTGGAATTTACAGCGAGTGCCTAACCCCTGAGCTACCACGGCTTTCACGGCACGGCACGGCAATTGAGTAATAATGAATAATTATTCGAATAAATATTTCAGAATTTAGATTTTTATATAAAATTTTGGTGTTAATTACAGTCGCTGCGCAATTGATATATTCAATTTTGATTAAAAAAAATTAATTACACGAATAATTTCTATGGTGGACTGTATGATTTAGGGTTGAAAGAAAATATTTATCCCAGATTTCTTCCATTTACTCTTGATTTTTATTTCTTTTCATGGCTCTGTTGAGAGCTGTAGTCAGACTGATACAATAGTATCCCTAAACCTTATTATTTTTATCACATGTATTCTCTTATTGCCCCTTTCTTAAAGAAAACAACAATATTTTATATAACTAACTACAATAACGAAGTGGTTTCTAAAACATACTTTGAGACTAAAATTATTAGAATATCTCTATAAACAAAATTCTCATTTTCAACTTACTTTAGTGAGTCAAAAATTCCAACAATAATTATCTGTATTGGCATGCTTCACATTTTGGTTGGTTTATAGAGATGAATCTGAATTAATTTTCTTTATTATTTAATGTTACTTTACTTAAAACTTGCGTAATCTTAACGTTAAACTAACAAAAGTTTAATAATATAATAGGTTTTACAGTCACTTTTAACAAAAAATATGCGTTACAACGGTATTTATAACGAAAATTAATTAGACACCACTCATTTGTCTGCTATCAACGAAACTGGTGGCAGACAACAAAAAACTCGTACGCAAATAGAGACAAAAGACTTTGCTCTGTCCTTTTCTCTCATACCGTACTTTTCATGTGCTTCTTCTCACTCTAGTAATTATTATTCTTTTTATGAGTCTATTGTATATCCTCTGTCTACGCTTGGCAGTTCGCTTTCAATTCGAAATACACCGATTCATGTTCTTTCTATCTCAAAAAAAAGCCAACACGCAATGGACTGTCAAAATTAATAAAAGCAAGGATTTTATTTGAGCCATTAGTCGTCTCTCTCGCACGCGTGCACTTTTTACTGGTCTTTCGAGAAGACGATCGCCCCCTTTCTAACCTGTGGCAAAATGTTCTATAATGAAATATAACTACGAAATGTTTATATATATAGCTATTAGTATGAAGCAAAAAGCCGGGCTTTATAGCGTGAAGTTGTGCGCGGGCGATATGTTTGCATTTTGCAAGTTTACTTCACATTTCAATGTTTAGTACCCGGTTCCCGGTTGACCGAGCTTTGATCGGTATTTTTCGCTCGGTTTTTTTTTAATTCGTGTGTTTTGGAAATTATATTTAGATACAAATTACATACTGATGAAATACGAATAATATTTTTTGATCTTAGCGACATAATAGAAAAAAACTGAACTGGTTATTTGAATGAATAATCATGAGTGCAATTATTTTAATTTAAGTTTTCGTGTTTTTAAAAAATACTAAAAAAAAGGGCTCGAAAAATAGATTTTCTCAAAAAAGAAACCAACATATTACGAGGACGTAATCAAATCTTTCCTGAAGAAAGAGAGACAGACGATTTGCTTTAACATATAAACAATTTTTTTTTAATTTTGTACATAGTTTGCTACTTTGTTGATGCTTTTCTTTTGTTCAAATATTGTATTGTATGTAAATATCTTTTTCTTTTTCTCAAGAAAACCGAAACGGCTTTTTTCAAAGCCACTGAAAGTATGCAATTGCTGATATGTCATACAATCTATCTAGCAGTGGTATGCCTACTGTGTGCTCTGTTAACACGTCCTCGATCGACAGCTCTGGATGTGAAACTGAATATTGGAGACAAATCAAGATTGGTGTATTTTTATAAAACTGCTAAAAACAACAAAACCATATCTTGGTCTTGCCCTAGCTTCGCCACTGCATAAGATTATTAGACCTCCCTACCATAGATCCTCTATCTACTACGGTCCTCGTTGAAATTTGAATACGGTTATCGTGGTTACGCGGTAGGTACCAACAATACTATATACATTAACAAAAAACTCGTGTTTAGTTCTGAAAACTAGTTTTCCGTTAATAATGAACAGGCGTTCATTATTAACGGAAAATTAATATACTCTTTAGAACTGGCAAACAACCTTGGTAGGTACATGCATTTCGTATGATTTAACAATGATGCAAGTACGAATGATTTATACTTGCGCAAGCTATTTCGAATCATCTTCAACAGGCATTATGTTTATATGTATATATTTATTATTTATCATTGTCAAGGTGGAGTTTACATAATGTTGTCATAGCAACACCTGTGATGCTTAAATTATAGTGGTGCTGGAACTAAAAAGTAATAAATATTATGTATTTTTCAAACAGTTAGATAACAGATTATTGATGTGCTTGTTGAAAAGGTTCATAAAAATAATTATATTGAAAGTGTTGCGATACATCATTTTGAACGTATCCATAAAAGTACTTTGACATATTCAGATTTACAAAATGTCATTTTGAGTAATAATTGTAGGTTATGATAAATATTATCAGTAAAAATGTAATTTTAACTGAAATTTTTAGTATTATAGGTTTTAAACCAAAATGACAACATCTCCTACAAGGACAAAACAAAAACTATCTTTGCGTAAACGCCTATTTGTTAAAAAGTCACCAAAAGTTGGCTGCTATGTTGATACCGATTCTAATGACGAATTTAGTCAAACCCCTTCCCGACCAATGTCCCCCGCGGATCCTTTCATAGCACAGAGTGCACAAAACAGTGACTATAATATAGAAAATACCACAAACCGAAAAAATTCTGATTCTGAACTTACTGTCAGCAACATCAACCAATGCAATGATCGCTACAGTAATGAAGACGACAACAACCCTAAATGTTGCAAAAAGTTGTTTAGAAAATCTCGACCGAAAAGCTTACTAGAAAGACCTGGTCATAAGGTAAGATCTAATTCCAAACCAACAAGTCCAGTAAACAATTCAAACAACAGTTTGAGTGATCACTCCATATCTGGTTCTCAAACCAAATCTGAAGAAATTCCGAAGGCTACTATCATTTTCCCTAAAAGTGAAGATGACAAAAAATATTTTGAACATACAACTTCACTTGAAGGCATTAAAGCTAAAAGTAAGTTATTTGTTAAACGTTTGTCAGCTGATCATTTAATATCAAATGAAAGTCGAGCTCCGTATCATTCTTCTTCACCTGAAAGTGACAGAAGCAGTTCTCTGGACCGTAAAAGAAGGTAAGCTGGAATAATTTAACTTTATATGTTTAACCGTAAATTAGGTTATTTAGTAATTTTGAATATCTTTAATTTATTTAGGACTAAATCAACCATCACTCGGTCAGCTTCTCACGCTGGCAGCACAGACAGCTTGGCTCGCAACTCGCTACTTGCTGCGCAAGTGCTGCGACTCATACCTACGCAGGAAGCTAGGGAAAGGTTATAACTCTCTCCTTATTTCTTTTCCTTCTAATCCACTTTTACCTTTACTAATAATGTCTATGCTGTATTGTATTTGAAATAAATTTCATAATATTACATTAAATTGGTTGCCTAATAATTGCTGTTTGTTGCTGTATAAACTAATTGCTTTAAAATATTTTTTTTTCTGTAAACTCTTTGCAAAACACAATAATTGTCAAATTTTATAGAAACTATCTATGTGGAAGACTGGCATCCCATTCTTTGCTGGGAGCAGCTGAATTAGAACATGTTTTTCCAGACAGAGAAGTCAAGATATTTATAGGAACATGGAACATGAATGGACAGCCACCACCAAGGTAGCTTTTAGTAATATTTTCGTTGTATCAATATCCTCTTTTTATTGTTCCGTAATTGACGGGGAAGGTAAAACAAATACATTTTAAATAAGTAATTCTTTTTATTTATTTCATATAACCCAATACAAGTTATCAATTTTTATCTGTGTCATATTATAGTACTAGTGATTGAAGGAAAATTAAAATATTATTATTTTTCAATAACTAAAATGACAAAAAGAAGTAAATAACAATTTTCATAATTTTTAGAGAGTTGGCAGACTTTATTTTCCCTAGTCAGGTAAAACATGTGCCAGATATCTTTGCAATAGGCACACAAGAGTCTTATTCAGAACGTACAGAGTGGGAAATTACTATCCAAGAGGTGTTGGGACCATCACATTTGTTACTACATTCTTACTATCTGGGTAAGTAGGTTTTTCATTGTTGGTAGGTGACCCATCTGTACTATCCATATTTTTTTTTATATATAATTATTTAACAATAGTTATAAGCCAACTGTGACTGATTTATTTTTGTTGTTATTGATTTGTTGGAAATTTATAATACCATGAACATTGATTTCTATTTTGAATTATTACAGTCCATAAAAATTTCACTAAAAGTCATCTAAAAATTAAACATTAAGCAACAGTTGCATTGAAAGAAACTGAGAGTATAAGCATACATTTCTTTTGTTTTTAGGAACAATTCACTTAACAGTATTTATAAGAAGGGATTTAATTTGGTATTGTTCACTGCCAGAAGATGCTAGTCTCTCGGTTCGTCCCGGGACTGCATTTAGAACTAAAGGCGCTGTGGCAATTTCCTTTGCATTGTTCGGATCTACCTTTCTATTTGTCACAGCGCACCTTACGGCCCACCAAGAAAAAGTTAAGGAAAGAGTATCTGATATCAAAAGGATAATTAGATCAATTGATTTACCAAAAAATTTACCATGTAGACATAGAAGTAAAGGTGGGAAACACAGTATTACATATATTGTTATTGCTATTTTCAATAATACAAATGACATATTGGTTGATCTTTTTCAGACGTTACTAATAATTTCGACTATGT